CTACATTAGGTATTTCTCCTAATGCTATCCCTCCCCTAGCCCTCTACCCCATGATAGGCCCCAGTGTGTGATGTTCCTCTCACTGTGTTCATGTGTTCTCATTGTTGCACTCCCACTTATGAGTGAGAACATGTGGTGTTTGGTTTTCTGTTCCTGTGTTAGTTTGCTGAGTATGATGGTTTCCAGCTTCATCCATGTACCTGCAAAGGACATGAACTCATCCTTTTTTATGGCTGCATAGTTTTCCATGGTGTATATGTGCCCCATTTTCTTTATGCAGTCTATCATTGATGGGCATTTGGATCGGTCCCACGTCTTTGCTGTTGTGAAAAGTGCCGCAATAAACATACGTGTACATGTGTCTTTATAGTAGAATGATTTATAATCCTTTGGGTTTATACCCAGTAATGGAATTGCTAGATCAAATGATATTTCTAGTTGTGGATCCTTGAGAAATTACCACACTGTCTTCGACAATAGTTGAACTAATTTACACTCTCACCAACAGTGTAAAAGCGTTCCTGTTTCTCCACATCCTCTCCAGCATCTGTTGTTTCTGACTTTTTAATGATCACCATTCTAACTAGTGTGAGATGGTATCTCATTGTGGTTTTGATTTGCATTTCTCTAATGACCAGTCATAATGAGCTTTTTTTCGTATGTTTGTTGGCTGCATAAATGTCTTCTTTTGAGAAGTGTCTGTTCATATCCTTTGCCCAGTTTTGATAGGGTTGTTTGTTTTTTTTCTTGTAAATTTGTTTAAGTTCTTTGTAGATTCTGGATATTAGCCCTTGTCAGATGGATAGATTGCAAAAATTTTCTCCCATTCTGTAGGTTGCCTGTTTACTCTGATGATAGTTTCTTTTGCTGTGCAGAAGCTTGAAGGGGGCCAGCCCCTCCACACCTGTGGGTATTTCTCATCAGGTGGGACGAGAGACTGAGAAAACAAATAAGACACAGAGACAAAGTATAGAGAAAGAACAGTGGGCCCAGGAGACGAGCGCTCAGCATATGGAGGTCCCGCACTGGTGCCAGCCTCTGAGATCCCTCAGTATGTATTGATCATTATTTTTACTCTCTTAGTGAGGGGAGTGTAGCAGGGCAACAGGTGGGGAGCAGGTCAGCGGGAAACATGTGAGCAAAGGAATCTGTATCATGAATAAGTTCAAGGAAAGGTACTGTGCCCCGATATACATGTAGGCTAGATTTGTGTTTCTCTTTACCCAAACATCTCAGTGTAGCAAAGAGCAACAGAGCAGTATTGCTGCCAGCATATCTCGCCTCCAGCCGCAGGGCGGTTTTCTCCTATCTCAGAATAGAATGAATGGGAATGGTCAGCTTTACATGGAGACGTTCCATTCCATCAGTGTGTTGTATTCAGGAGGCCCATCTCACATGCAAAGACACACATAGGCTCAAAATAAGGGATGGAGGAAGATTTACGAAGCAAATGGAAAGGAAAAAAAAAAAAGCAGGGGTTGCAATCCTAGTTTCTGATAAAACAGACTGTAAGTTTCTGATAAAACAGACTGTAAACCAACAAACATAAAAAAAAAAAAGACAAACAAGGATATTATATAATGGCAAAGGGTTCAAAGCAACAAGAAGAGTTAACTATCCTAAACATGTATGCACACAATACAGGAGCACCCAAGATTCATAAAGCAAGGCCTTAGAATCATGTGGTTTTTGTCTTTGGTTTTGTTTATGTGGTGAATTACATTGATGGATTTGTGTATGTTGAACCAACCTTGGATCCCAGGGATGAAGCCCACTTGATCATGACAGATAAGCTTTTTGATGTGCTGCTGGAATTGGTTTGCCAGTATTTTATTGAGGATTTTTGCATTGATGTTCATCAGGGACATTGGAGGGCAGTTTTTTTTGTATCTCTGCCAGGTTTTGGTATCAGGATGATGTTGGCTTCATGAAATGACTTAGGGAGGAGTTCCTTCTTTTCAATTGTTTGGAATAGTTTCTGTAGAAATGGTACCAGCTCGTCTTTGTACCTCTGGTAGAATTTAGCTGTAAATTTGTCCTGTCCTGGGCTTTTTTTGGGGGCTGATAGGTTATTTAATTACTGCCTCGGTTTCAGAACTCATTATTGGTCTATTCAAATATTCAGTTTCTTCCTGGTTCAGTCTTGGCAGGGCGTATATGTGTCTAGGAATTTATCCATTTCTCCTAGATTTTCTAGTTTATGTGCATAGAGGTGTTTATAGTATTCTTTGTTGATTGTATTTCTGTGTGGTCAGTGGTGATATCCCCCTTATCATTTCTGATTGTGTCCATGTGATTCTTCCACCTTTTCTTCTTTATTAGTCTACCTAGCAGCTATTTATTATTATTTTTTTTCCAAAAAGACCCAGCTCCTGGATTTGTTGATTTTTTGAAGGGGTTGTCATGTCTCTATCTCCTTTAGTTCTGCTCTGATCTTGGTTATTTCTTGAATTCTGCTAACTTTGGAGTTTGTTTGCTCTTGTTTCTCTAGTTCTTTTAGTTGAGATGTTAGGTTGTTGATTTGAGATCTTACTAGCTTTTTGATGTGTGTTACAGAGATTCTGGTGCATTGCCTCTTTGTTCTCATTAGTTTTAAAGAACTTCTTGATTTCTGCCTTAATTTCATAATTTACCCGGGAGTCATTCAGGAACAGGTTGTTCAATTTCCATGTAGTTGTGTAGTTTTGAGTAAGCTTCTTAATCTTGAGTTCTAATTTGATTGCACTGTGGTCTGAGAGACCATTTGTTATCATTTCAGTTCTTTTGCATTTGCTGAGGAGTGATTTACTTCTAATTATGTTATGAATTTTTGAGTAAGTGCCATGTGGCAAGGAGAAAAATGTATGTTTTGTTATTTTTGGATGGAGAGTTCTGTAGATGTCTATCAGGTCCGCTTGATCCAGAGCTGAGTTCAGGTCCTGAATATCTTTGTTAATTTTCTGTCTTGATGATCTGTCTAATATTGTCAGTGGGATGTTAAAGTCTCTCACTATTATTGTGTGGGAGTCTGAGTCTCTTTGTAGATCTCTAAGAACTTGCTTTATGAATCTAGGTGCTACTCTATTGGGTGCATATATATTTAGGATAGTTAGCGCTCCTTGTTGAATTAAACCCTTTACCATATATAATGCCCTTCTTTGTCTTTTTTGATCTTTGTTGGTTTAAAGTCTGTTTTGTCAGAAACTAGAATTGTGACCCCTGCTTTTTTCTGTTTTCCATTTGCTTGGTAAATTTTCCTTCATCCCTTTATTTTGGGCCTATATGTGTCTTTGCATGTAAGATGGGTCTCTTGAAGATAGCATCCAGATGGATCTTGACTATCCAGCTTGCCATTCTGTGTCTTTTAGTTAGGGCATTTAGGCCATTTACACTTAAGGTTAATATTGTTATGTGTGAATTTGATCCTGTCATCATGAAGCTAGCTGGTTTTTTTTGCAGACTTGTTTATGTGGTTGCTTCGTTGTATCACTGATTTGTGTACTTCAGTGGATTTCTGTAGTGGTTGGTAATGATTTTTCCTTTCCATATTTAGTGTTTCCTTCAGGAGCTCTTGAAAGGCAGGCCTAGTGGTGATGAAGTCCCTCAGCATTTGCTTGTCTGAAAAGGATCTTATTTCTCCTTTGCTTATTAAGCTTAGTTTGGCCAGATATGAAATTCTGGGTTGGAAGTTCTTTTAAGAATGTTGAATATTGGCCCCTAATCTCTTCTGGCTTATAGGGTTTCCACTGAGGGTTCTGCTTTTGGTCTGATGGACTTCTTTTTGTAGGTGACCTGGCCTTTCTCTCTGGCTGCCCTTAACATTTTTTCTTTCATTTTGACCTTGGAGAATCTGATGATTACATGTCTTGGGGTTGATCTTCTCGTAGAGTATCTTACTGGGGTTCCCTGAATTTCCTGAATTTGAAGGTTGGCTTGTCTTGCTAGGTTGAGGAAGTTCTCCTGGATGAGATCCTGAAGTATGTTTTCCAGCTTGTTTCCAATTTCCCTGTCTCTTTCAGGTACTCCAGTCAGTTGTAGGTTCGGTCCTTTTCCACAATCCCGTATTTCTCAGAGGTTTTGTTTATCGTCTTTTATTTTTTCCTTTTTCTGAGACAGTCTCGCTCTGTCGCCCAGGCTAGAGTGCCATGGTGCAATCTTGGTTTACCGCAATCTCTGCCTTCCGGGTTCAAGTGATTCTTGTGCCTCACCCTCCTGAGTAGCTGGAATTATAGGTGCATGCCACCATGCTTGGCTACTTTTTGTATTTTTAGTAGAGACAGGGTTTTGCCATGTTGGCCAGGCCGGTCTTGAACTCCTGACCTCAGGTGATCTGCCTGCCTTGGCCTCCCAAAGTGCTGGGATTGCAGGTGTGAGCCACTGTACTCAGTCTCATTCTTTTTTCTCTATTCTTGTCTTCCCGTCCTATTTTGGAAAGATAGTCTTCCAGCTCTGAGATTCTTTCCTCTGCTTGGTCTACTTTGCTATTGATACTTGTGATTGCATTGTGAATTTCTTATATTGTGTTTTTCAGCTCCATCAGGTCATTTATGTTCCTCTCTAAACTGGCTATTCTCATTATCACCTCCTGTGTTGTTTTATCATGATTCTAAGCTTCTTTGCATTGGGTCAGAACGTGCTCCTTTAGCTCAGCGAAGATTTTTATTACCCATTTTCTGAAACCTACTTCTGTCAATTCATTCATCTCAGCCTCAGCCCAGTTCTGTACCCATGCTGGAGAGTCATCTAGAGGAGAAGAGGCACTCCGGATTTTTGAGTTTTCAGCATTTTTGCATTGATTCTTTCTCATCTTTGTGGGCTTATCTACCTTCTATCTTTGAGGTTGCTGACCTTTGAATGGTGTTTTTGTGGGGTCTTTGTTGTTGTTGTAGTTATTGCTTTCTGTTTGTTTGTTTTTATTTTAACAGGCCACTCTTCCATAGGGCTGCTGTGGTTTGCTGGGGTTTCATTCCAGACCCTAGTCTCCTTGGTCCTCCCACACCTGGAGATATTACCAGTGAAGGCTGTGAAACAGCAAAGATGCCTGCTCTTTCTTCTTGGAGCTTTGTCCCCGGGGCGCACTGACTGGATGTTGGCCTGAATGCTCCTGTAGAAGGTGTCTGGAGCCCCCTACTGGGAGTTCTCACCCAGTCAGGAGGAACAGGATCAGGGACCCACTTAAAGAAGCAGTCTAGCTGCCCTTTGGCTGAGTGGGTGTGCTGTGCTGAGGGGAATCTCCTTGTGCACACTGCCTGGACTCTCCAGAGCCAGCAGGCTGGAAAGACTAAATTGGCTGAACTGCAAATACAGTCACCACTTCTCGCCCTGCCCCGCCCTCCACCCCCTTTTGGTGGCTCAGTCCCAGGGAGTGATCAGAGATCTGTTCATATAACTCTGGCTAGTATAGCTGAAATTCCTGCAGGGAGGCCCCACCTAGTGAGGAGGGATGAAGCAGGGTCCCACTTAGAGAAACAGTCTGACCGCAGTCTGCTGTGTTATGGAAAACTCTTCCCATTCCAGACCTCCTGGACTCCCCAGAGAAGCTGGCAGGCTAGCACCACAGAGAT